CAATTTGTTGTTCACTTTGGTAGTTTAAAACAGGCTATGGTGGGAAATCTCTATGCTGAAACCAGATGAATCAACAAATGAGGGATTTCTCTGCCCACTCCTGAAACTAGTTGTTATATACTTTTCAGCATACTGATGCGGTAAAACTAACCATTGTTGGGATAAGTAGACAGCTGGGAGATCCTTCCTGTTGTTTCTCTATTCCTTCAAGAATGATTTTTAGCTCATAAGCATGTTATAAATCTTCTCCAGATTTCTTTGGTATTTTGTTTTGTTTTATTTTTTAATGTGTGTGGTGCTGGGGATCAAACATAGGGCCTCACATGTGTTAGGCAAACACTATGTCACTGAGCTACACCCTTAGCCTCCTCTCACAAGTTTTGTCATGCAGATAGGCTACTATCACAAAGTACTCTTGTAACCCAAAGGGTTGTATGTCTTATACTAGTACTTCAGACTTAAGTAAAATGGTTAATAGAGAGACATAGCATATAGGAGGGGTGTCTTTGTCACTGCCACTATGAGGTCTTGGTTCTCAGACTTGATGCAGTCATTGTTCCTGACCTCGGCTTACTATTGAATTTTAAAATCATTAGAAACTCTTGGTCCCTCAATCTAATTGTAAAATTCAAACTGCATTTAAAAAAAAAAACTCTAAAAAGTCATTTTTGCTCTTTGATGTGTGTATTTTTAAATGGCAAGTTTTAAAATAATAAATTATATGGAAAATGGGATGATAAATATCATTGCAGCCATTTTTAGAAAATACAGTCACTCAAGACTATAAATAGAAAAAAAGACTAAGTAATTGTATATTTAGTATATGTTTGAGGCCTACCCAGTGCTGATTCGCTCCTTTTAATTCTGTGCTTCTACCAAGACAACATTGTCATGGCCAGTACATGCATGGACTACAGGTAATATGAATAACTTGAAGAATAAAGATAGATGTTTCTATGCTAGAACATTTGCTCCTTTTAAAAATCAGCTTTATGGAGGTAAATTTAAATACATTAGAAGTCACAAATTTTAAGTGTGCAGTTACATGTGTTTTGACAAGTGATACAGTCATGGAACCATCAGAATGATATAGAACATATCTATTAATTCAAAAAGTGTCCTTGTGTCCCTCCCCTTCCTCCAGGACCTGGCAACACTGATCTTCTTTCTGTCACTCCAGTACTTTTCTAAAGTGTTTATGCAAATTAAATCATAAAATATGATTTGGGTCCTTGGGGCCTGGCTCCTTTAAGCATACTGCTTTTGAGGCTCATTTCAGTATTGTATGTAAGAGCAACTTGTTCCTTTTATTGCTGGTATTCCTAGCATGCTCTTGTAAGTCTGTACCACAGTCTGCTTATCCATTTAGCAAGTGATAGACATTTAGATTGTTTCTACTTTTCAGACATTATGAAAAAATCCTTCAGCCCATTGTAATAAATACCAAGAAAGTCTTCTTTACTGCCATCACTTTTGTTTTGATTGGTAAAATATGGCTAACCACAAGTTTGGTTAAAAGATGTTATCAGCAATACATGGTGGTGCACACCTGTAATCCCAGCTACCGAGGAGGCTGAGGCAGGACAATCCCAATTTTGAGGCCAGCCTAGGCAATTTAGCAAGGCTCTGGCTCAAAATCAAAAATAAAAAGGGTTGAGGATGTCCCTCAGTAGTAGAGTAACCCTGGGTTCTTTCCCCAGTACCACAAAAATAAATCATCAATGTTTTGAGTCAGAACTGACAGAAAACCAGTTGGGTGTAACTGGCTTAGCTATCCTTCCCAAGGCTCCCATGCCCAGTTAGAATTGATCTCTCAGTTTTCTATCCTTTGGTAGTTTTTTTCCTCTTGTACTACTTTTCTTGGTAAACATTTTACCATCTGCTATTTAATCTCTCTTTCTTTCTCTCTGTGTGTGTGTGTGTGTGTGTGTGTGTGTAAAAATCTCCATTTTGAACTCCCTACTAGGGACAAGAACTAGGTCTTATTTATCTTTATTTGACTCAATGTCCTGCAGAGTGTGTTTCACATAATAGTCATGATAAGTATTTAATGGATTGATTTGAATTCTTCTGTAGTCCTTTCCTCGGATACCTAAGTGATTTATATTAATTCTTTTAATCCATTGTTGCATTATCTCTAGAGTATTATAAAATAAGTTTCCCTGAATAAAAATATTTTTAATTCTACCTTTGCATTTACTGTGTAAACTCTGAGTGCATTTTAAATTCTTTGTGGTCCTCACGGTGGTAGTTGTTTTTGAGCTATAAAGTGAGAGGATTTGATGAAACAAATTTGAAATTCCTTTCATTTCTAATGTTCAGAGGTTTCATTTAAAGCTTACCAAGCCAGAAAGAACCTGCAAAGAGAGGGAGCAATATAGGAGGGAAGGGTAGGTGGATGGAGGTAGGATATTAGAAATATATCATGGTTGTATCTTATAATAAATAACATGCGTAGTATATCAAGTAGTGTGAAAATTGGGGAAGGATTCAAGAAACACAAGGTGTAACAACATTTGTTGGTAGAGGGGTCTTTTACATTGTTTTATTTTATAAAGAGAACTACAGTTGTGACAGTTCTTTTTTTTAGTGATTAGGCAGCTTCTCATTCTAAAACTTGATGGTTAGATTTCGCAATCCCTGTATGTTGAGGAACTGTAAGTCCCAGTTTGCAATGGGTATTCTCAGATATGACTATTAAGTTGATATTCTAATTAATAATATTCCTTTTCACTCTTAAATGCATATTGATTTTGGACAGTACGTTTTATGGTCACCCAGTTATTAGGGAACTAAGATCCTCAGGTCTCCCTACCTGTAGCCCCTGCTCTAGCTGGAGGTCTGACTTGAACATGATCCAAGAGACCATAGTACCTTTTAAACTGATTCCTTTAGCAGGACCATCTCTACTTGGCAAAGCCATTCTCATCTAATCATTCTTTTCTAACATCTCTGAAAAATGTTCGCCTCCTCATCTGAGACTTAGATTCTCCAGTTTCATTTAAAGACTGCATTCTTCTTCTATCCCCATGTCAAGGGTGTAAAAACATTCAATTTTTAAACATTCACTGCCCACTTCCTATGTGACAAACACTGAGCTGGACTCAGGGTAGAGCATGACAAAAGGAGACAGACATGTAAACCAGTAATTAAAACGTGAAGGGTGCCAGGTGTATACAACATATATTGAGGTCATAAGGGAAGAATAGTTTACTTAGGAGAGAAAGATGGGGAAGAGGAGGGAAGAATTTTGAACTAGGCCCTAAAGGAATAGTATGAATGATACAGGGGAATTGGATGGGTGGGCCGGGGGCAATCCAGGAAGAGAAAGAAACATTTGCAATGATCCATAGCCAGAAAATGCGTGGTGTGATGGGAAAGGCAAAAAGTAGCCTCGTCTGACTATCCATTTGTTGCAATATACTACTTTGGAACTGAGTGTGAGACAAGACCTTGGACCACATCCAGGGGGGTGTTGTTGTTAGAAGTACCAGACGGGACCTTATTTCACATTTAGCATGGACCCCTGATGATTCCATTTGAGTGAGGTGTGGGTGTATTTTCATTCTGGAATTTTACACTACAACATTACCACATGCATTGACCAACTTCAATACAGGCTTTCCTTATGTTGCTTTATAATTAGAAGCCAGTGAATTGAAGTTCCACAGCGGTACATAGACTGGTAGTGATAGCTTTATGGAATTGTTTATTTTTAGTTTGGCAAAGGCTAGTCAGTAAATATCTCAATTAGTAAACTAAAGCAGCATGGATGAGAAATGCCCACAAGGAGATCAGAAGATAGAAATAACTAAGTCACTTAATTGAAGGAAACCCTCATAACACTCATATTTAGAGTTTGAAGAACCAATGTAGTGTGTGTGTGTGTGTGTGTGTGTGTGTGTGTGGACACACATGCATGGTACATATGCACAGTGTCTTCATCTGCAATGTTGCAGTAATAAGGTTCTTTGCATTGCTTAGGTTCTAATCGTTCAAGAAGTTTCTTTATTTAAGAGCCAGTGTAATTGGATGTTGACCTAGTAGGATAGGTCAATATCCTATCACAGTGGGATGGGATATTATCTTTGACTATAGAAGCTTTTCATCCTGTAGTTTCTTTCAGTGTGACCCAAAATAAATTTTATTATGAAGTGCTGAGGAAAGTTATTCATTTTCAATTCATATTTATATTCACATTATACGGCCTGATGTGTGAAAATATTTAATGAAAACATTTATGCAGTGCTATAGAATCATTTACTGGCCTCTAGATAGTCTCCTGTATTATATTTGAGATTCCATTTTAAGTTTTGGAGGAAAACCAGAAGGGGCCTACAAAGCTTAATTTTAAGAATTAAGATTTTGATTGTCAAGCATGGTGGCATTCGCCCCTAATCCCAGTAATTTGGGAGGCTAAGGCAGGAGGATTACAAGTCCAAGGCCAGCCTGGGCAACTTGGTGAGAGACTCTGTCTCAAAATAAATAAAAAATACTGGAATGTACATCATTGGTAAAGCACCCCTGGATTCAATCCACAGTGATACAATAAAAAAGAAAAAAAGAAAAACAAATTTTTAAGTTTTTCTCAAACTAAAAATTAAGTTATTACTGTTGCTAGAATTCCAAGATCTTCAGGAAATACTGACCATTCAGAGGATGAAAGATTAATTGACAGTGCAAGTGAGAATGTTACAAAAGGGGGGGGGGGAGGTATGTGTACTTTAAAGTTACAGTTATACAATATCTTTATTCATTTATCATTTTATTTTAATTTTTAGAACTGTGTCCTTTTGTGCAGATGGAGTTATGGTGTGTATTCATATTGTATGATAGGTCCTTTTGAATTGCCCCCCTTCTGGAGTGGGGGTTCTGTGGAAAGATTGTTGTCCTCTTATGCTTCACAATTTACTACCTATGGGCTCTCTATGGTCCATAGGGGAGTGGAGGTCTGTTGATCTGCAAATTACATTTCTGTATGTCTCCTTTCTGTTTTGCAGACTGGAAAAAGATAGCATTCAGCAGAGCTTCAGCAACGAAGCAAAGGCCCAAGCCCTTCAGGCCCAGCAAAGAGAGCAGGAGCTGACACAGAAGATACAGCAAATGGAGACCCAGCATGACAAAACTGGTAGGTGGTAAGGAAAGATTAGAGCCTGGGCACTCGCTCACAAGCCAGGCCCACGCCTTACTGTGAAATGACATCAGGAACACCTGTAACCTTTGGCTGGCCGAAGGGAGCAGATGCTAACTACACCGGAGATTCCGAATTACATATTAGTTAGCGTTTAAAAGAGAAAATGGAAAGTATTGCCCACTGTCTGTTGATTTCAGAGTGCTGCTCTCACATCTGTTGCACCATCTGGATTATGAGTTTATTTACCTGTGTTCAAGAAACGTAAAGCTGAGAGAGACCACAACAAAGTAGAAAAACAAAGGGCTTGTTTTTGGCTGGGTTTTCAGGCACACATGTTATATAAAGAAAATAGCATCAGAAGCTCTGCGGGAAATGCTCTGAGCTTACAGTTAGAGTCTCCTGAATAGCATTGAACAGTTCCCACAGTACACACATTATAGCTACTCTAAAAGCCTAATGAGTTTGCTTCAGCATCCAAACTGGAGAAAAGCTTTAGCCATTAATCGGTTCTTAATTCACTGTCGCAGCTGGATGTAATTCAGTGGCTCCAAATTGATATGTTCCTTTATTTAATCTTTGCAGCTTCGAACATTTTTAGCATTTGTATGATTTCCCCACCTCCCCCAATCCAATCTAGAGTGATGTTTAATCCTTTGCATTCTTCAAGTTCTCACAACTGCTGTTAAAATTCACTAATACAAGGCATTGACCACAGCTGGCAGCTTGGCTAAAAATTGCCATCTTTCATCACATTGGCACTATTCTGCAAACTGAGTTGGCCAGTAACTCTTTACCTTTAATTTGAAAGTAAAATGCACTTTGAAAATAGGCAGTTTGATTTGTTCAGTTGGAGCATTATGTAGTTCCTTTCACTTTTGAGTTGTGTGTTCACAGACAGTGTTAGTCAAAACAAGACAGTGTCAGTCATTATAATTCCACACCACATACTCCACGCTGATTGTACTATTAAAACAAAAGTTTAATTGATCCTGTCTCTTCCAGAAAAATGTTGCTTAATTTTAGTGCCTTGATTTATTTTGCTTTGTGTGCTATATGCTTTTTGCCAATCATTAGCTAAAATTAAAAAGGAATAAAGGATCTATCACAACTTACACTTAGAGGTAATTTTCACAGGATTTAATGTATATTGTATTTGATGACACGGTACTAAATTATTTCCTGTCTCATAGGTGGAAAACCACTATCATGAAATTTATTAACTTCATTAACTTTATTAAACTTATTAACTTATTAAATTTATTTACTTGTAAAGAGGTAAATGTCATATTGACTCACAAAATTCCCTTCAGCACTTTTTCAGTAGAGATTTTCTTTTCACCACATTTGGCCAGAAAAAATGAAAATTCACCAGATTCATGTAAATCATGTCACTAAAAACACAGAGGAAATTATAGGATAATTTATTGTTGGCCCCTACTGCTAGCAGGCTCCTAATGATTAAAGAGTCTTGGGCAGAAATTGAGCATTAGATAAGAGTTTTTAAGCTGTTAAAACCATCTTTAAAACACTTCCATTTATTTTGCACACTCAATTTCTTTGACCAAATCTTCATGGAAGCACATACTGTTGACAATAAAATCAACATTCTAAGGAAAATCACATAGTTTACCTTCATAATTAGGAGAAGTATATCCAAGATTCAAGGGGGAGGGTGTGAGTAGTAAACTATGTGCATAAATGCGAAACATAAAGCACGAGTTTCAGTGTAAAAGAGAATTCCTCGATTTTAGTTTTGAATTATCTGGTTGTGAGAATTTTGACACTGTTTGTGGTAGCATTGTCAAAATAAAAATATAATATCTTGCATATTACAAAGATATAAGCATCTATGACTCCACTTGAGGTATTTGACAATTTATGAACATGCTGAAATGTTACTCTAAGCTGATATGATCAAAAATGTTACTGGTGTATAATTTTATTATGAAAATAAATGTCTCACAAGATTTAGTGTCTTACCAGTTGACAGGTCCTTTAATTTAGGACATTGAAAGTATTCTAGTGACTTCTAGGAAATATGTAGTGAGCTAACGCACTTTACCACTCTACATATGGAAAGCCCTGCAGAGCTACAACTATAAACATCTTATGTTGTTGGGGATTTATTGTTATTTCTAGAAAATGAACAGTATTCATTGCTGACCTCCCAGAATACATTTTTGACAAAGTTAAAGGAAGAATGCTGTACATTAGCCAAGAAACTGGAACAAATCTCTCAAAAAAGCAGGTAGGTAATGTTGTATAATATTTTCAGAGCACTGTTTGTTTGATTACTGTAATTTTTCTTAAAAAAACAGCATTTTTACTATTATAATCTAATATTAAAATTAGTTATCTGTTGATAAGTTTTCTGTGAAAATATTTTTGTATATTTTTTCTTAATTGTTCATATAAATACTTTAATGTTTTCCATTATTTTGTATACATATTATTATCTGACTTTTTTAAAGTTTAGTATGAAATTTCAGAAAACAAAGCTTAAGATAGTAATTATTCTAATAAAGAATGCAGATAAATCAAGCAGTTTAAAAATCTTATGTTGATACAGCTAACAAATTTTAATCTATTCTATAATTTTGCACAAACACGCACAAAAAACCTATCTTTAGGTCAAATAATTAGGGAAATTGAAAAGACAAAGGTGCTTCATGTACATTATTTAATTCTCACAACAGCTTGAGATAGGAATTATTATCTTTTTTTATAGATAAGGAGACCAAAACTGTGTAACTGGTAAATGGGAGAGATAAAGTTCTAACCTAGATCTTTCTGGTTCTAAAGTCTATATTACAATAATTATAATATTTTACATCTAGTACTTAAGAAACCTCAGATTCAGTGGATGTGGTGGTTCTTTCTACCTACTCCAGAGGCTAAGACAAGAGAGTTACTTGAGCCCAGGAATTTGAGACCAGCCTGGGCAACATAGCAAGGCCCTATCTCTTAGGAAAAAAAAGAAAAGAAAGGGGCTGGAGCTGGGGCTCAGTGATAGAGTGCCCCGCCTGGCATGTGTGAGGCACTGGGTTTGGTCCTCAGCACTACATAAAAATAAAATAAATGTATTGTGTCCACATAAAACTAAAAAAGTATATATATATTTAAAAAAGAAAAAGAAAAAGAAAAAGAAAGAAAATTCAGACCACAGTGGTGATGGGGAAGATTAGAAGGAAAAGATGACCTTTAAATTTTCATGGATAATTGCTACCCTTCCAGCCAAGGTTAACCTGTGCTCTGTGCCTGTTGGCCCTATTTTTCCTCCTCTAGATTAATTTACCCTCTACAAGTCTAGTGAATTTAAACCTTGGCTCTTCTCCACTCCTTTCTTCTTTCAGCTCCTGACCTAAAGTGTTTTCCTCTGTATCTGACACATAGGTGGCACCCAAAACATATGAATGAATGAATGAAACAAACAAATAGGTGGGTTTTTACCCCCCATACCCTGATACGATTTCTGATATCTACCTATTCTTTTGTGGATGGCAAGCAGGGTGCAAAAAAGAACAATTTGGAATTCAGAAAGAACTAGATTTGAGTCTTAGTTTGTCACTTAGCTGTGCAACCTTGAATATGTTGCCAAATCTCCCCAAAGCTCAGTTTCTCCGTCTGTAAAAACATTTCCAAAATCATGTTGCAGGATTGTTGTGGGAATTCAGACAATATATATAGAAAAGCAAACATACTTGCATATACTGTCATCCCTCAGTATCCAAGGGGGATTGATTCCAGGACCCCTTTAGATACCAATATCTGCAGATGCTCAAGTCCCTTATATAAAAAGGCATAGTATTTGTATACAACCCACATAGCATTCTCCCATATACATACATACACACACACACACACACACATGCAAATCACACTGTTAACATGCATCACACACACACACATACACACTCGTGTTTTTTCATTGTTGGGGATCAAACCCAGAGCCTCACACATGGAAGGCAAATACTCATCTCTGAGGTATTGCAAATATTATAGAGCTGATTCAAAATATAAAAGAGAGAGATGTGGCCCTCTTCAGTATGCTTTGATTCATCTGTATAATACTTGCAATACCTAATACATAATATATAAATGTAATGCTATGTAAATAATTATTACACTGTATTGTCTAGAAAATAATGACAAAGAAATTGTGTCTTTAGGACAGACCCAACATTCTTGTCTGTGGTTGGTTGAATTTGTGGATGCAGAACCTGCAGATAAGGAAGGCTTGGCATGTGGCAATACACACTAGCTGCTATTGTGTCACTGGTGGCATTGTTTTAAGGGTCTTGACTGGTAAATCGGGTAACATTTCACTAGCTCTTACCCTTGCCAGGGAAGTTCTGAGTACCTTTTCTGACAGATATAATGCCAGAATCATAGTGAAACCCTTTTTAAGAGCCAAGCAGCATTAGTAAAAAGTGGATCTGGTTGTGTTAGAGGTCAAGCTTTCGCACCTGGTTTGGTAATATTGTTGGATTAAAATAGTCACCTGTTTGTAACTTTACAAGTTAATTCAAAAATAAGGTCTGAAAGTTAGTAAAAACTTGGTGAATTGCTATGTAGTATTTTTAAAATTTTAAGTGCTCACAAAATTTACAAAAAGTGCATTTTGTGTGTTTCACAAGAAAGTAGTAAGTAGGATAAATTGTGATTTTTGGTTTGTCTGTTTGTTTGTTTGCTCTTAAGTTTCTCCTGGATTCCTACTATGACATTTTCAAGAATTCATTCTTGCCAAATTTAACATTCCATTTTGATGTTACCTTCTGCTTTAAAACCATCTACAGAACTTGAAGGCTCAGAGTATTTCTTTTTAAATAAAAATTATAAATGTAATAAGAACTGAAGAAGCGCTTGATGAGTATGCTTTGCACACCCTGTTCCAAACTTTGATAAATAATTTCCCTATACTTTGAGATGAGAAAAAGCCTGGAGTTTCTAAAGTTTGGTCATTGTGGAGTCTGAGTCTCCACAATAAATATCTAATCCATATGGTAATTTTGATCCCAATTTTCCTCAGAGTAAACTTTTTCCTGAAAGTAAGTGTATTTATTTTGTATCGATCAGTAATTTAAAACACATATTTTTAACTCTCCTTTCCTTACAGCAGTATTTTTGAGTTTTATGTTATTCAAAATGCCATAAACAAATGGATTCCTATCATTTAAATAAGCTTTTTTACTCACAAATCTCATCTTTTAACAAGAGCTCGTGCAAAATCACTAGAAAAGCTGAAAGCCTGGGCTCCTTGTGCCCATAAACTCGTACTCTCTGCTTAGCCTCATGCTGGGCTGCTCTGTGAAAATGTTTTGAAATGGTATCTTCATGTGTGTCTGTTGTCTGTGGTTTCTCCCCCAAGTAGACAATAAGTCGCATTATAACAGTGAGGATTACTTCTGTTCTCTGGAAGCCTCCATAGCGATTTGCACACACAGTACTTTCCGCACTGTGTGTATTCCACACTGTGCACGTAGTGGTGTCTGCAAGCCCAGGGTTTGTGAATGGCACATCCCATTTTAAAACTAAAAATGAAATGCTGATTCTGTAAATTTTTTATAGCTTGTTTTTGACCATCAGGCAAGAGGATTAATTCCATTTTGCTTTTAATTGGCACCAGGCAGACATTCTCGCTGATTTTAGTTGAAGCTCACATAAACTTTAGTTACCCCTTCCGTCTGTATTCCCCAGTACTCCGAGAGCTTCTTACAGTTATGGGGTTGTTTTTGAAGGAGGTAAAGGGAGATATTTAAATATCTTGGTAAAACTGTGATCTTTCTTTATCAAGTGAAGGAAGTGTTCCTTCTCCCCAGGCGCTTAGATGAATAAGCAGTAAAATGTTAACAGTGCGATTTGCATTGCGGATTAAAACCTGGCCAGGGAAGAGCTCAGAAAGGTGGACGCTGGCTGGGAGTGAGTCTCTGCCAGCCTTGAAGTGCATATGATATATGCTGGAGGTCAGCTGTGTGCTAGGGCTCAGCCTTTCTCCCCTTGAATGCTGAAAAGGACTGAAGAGGGCACAGAACCAGCATCTACGCGGTTTTGCCTCTCTTCTTTCTTTTCTGTCATTGTCACTTTCTGGGTTGCTAAGCTTGTGGATTGATGTCTAACACTGCCCATTGTGTATTTGTGATTTGCGTTTTGTAATTAAGAGGAACAATGGGAGTCCATGGGGTCTCGTTATATATAATGGTTGGTTTAATTTGTTTCACTTCTATCTTGTTAATTGTAAATTGATCATTAAGATTTGAATTCTAATCTGTCACCAGGGTTGTGAGTATTGAGGCTAGAGCAATGATCCTGGTTTTAATCACTGATGATGAGAAACAAATTTTATAATTTTGGTACATATTGCAGTTCATATATTTTAACACTATATTTTATGATGTTATAAATATTGTTAAATGACTTTTAGTGTAGTTTTACTGTGTGGACTATAATGTATAAATTATATTACTGTTTTGGCAACAGTAGGTATCCAACTGTGTGAGTTTAATTGAAGTAAAGAACACACACCCGGTTGAACTGTTTTTTTCCTCTTGCGTGTTTAGATGATGTTAGGTTGGGATACCACAAAAATTATGTTCTGCAGGAGGAGACTGATAGTGGCCTTCTGCTGATTATTATCAAAAGTCAAACCAGAATCTGAAAATAAAAAATGAAGATGTCATATTTTCCTTTTAAAAGCAATTATCCTTGTATTCTAAATTATAGTAGTAAAATATCTTATATTTCATGCAAATGCACTTACATAATATAAATGGTATGTAAAAATGCAAGGCAAAGTTTATGCTTCCATAAAGCCAAAAATTACCTAAATTTTCTATGAAAATGAACTGGAGTCAATTATCCTTTTATATGAGACTAGGATAATCACACCACAAATGTCTCTCTAAATTAAAATAGAAACTTGTATGTTTACTCTTTGAACTCTGCAGTTTAGTAGTTATATGGCAATATCATGAGCTCTACATAGGTAAAGGATATGCACATACACATATACCAAATTTTTATTGAACAATGGAAATTGCTATGCAAATTACCATTGTAAGTAAAGAAAAAATATAAGAAATATTCAAAGCAGAAAAAAATTGTCATAACAAAGCATGTTATGGAAATATGTGCTTTACAAATAATATTTTTATTTTTGTAATTATGTAACACACCTTCAGTGTAGGAAATTTGGAAAATACAAAGAAGAATTAAGGAAAAAGAATTCCTGAGCCATTAGCAGCCAGAAATAACTATTATATGCTTTATATCCTTTTGACATATTTCCATTTAATCATTTTCCATGTGTATGTAAATGTGTTATGTGCATACACATTTATATTGTGATTGAGATTATGCTACATGTACATTTTGCATCTGCTTTTCACTTAATATCTCATTAATGAACATTTTTCTACATCAGTAAATACTCTGGAAACAAAACTTTAATTGAATCATTTGTATGCATAATAATTCATTAGACATTTAAGATGTTTCCAATTTTTAGCTATTCTGAATAATAATGTGACAATAACTTTGTACATAAATCTGAATTTTTGATGATTCCCTCAGTAGAGATGCTTAAAAGGGATTACTAGTCCAAAGACTATGAATCCTTTCAGTGTGTGTTACTTTGCTTAAATATTACACTAAATTCTCCTCAGCATATATATAACCCATCTGAGTATGTGACATTAAAAAATGAGAGATGAAAAAAAAAAAAAAAAGAGTGAGAGGCAATATAGCACAGTGGGTAGAACTACCTACCCCTTTAGAGTTGGATAGACTATTATTTGTATGTGAGTCTGGCTATTTGCCATTTGGGTAACCTTAGGCAAATCATTAAATTTCGTATATACCACATGGAGAAAAGGAAATGAACAATTACCTTATAGATTAATTGAGATCACTAAAGTAAAGAATGAATTTCACTATCTGGTATAGTCATATAATAAATTTTTTATAGTAGTATCTGCTTTTATTATGAATTTCTTTGAATAAAAATAAAAGTGAATATTTTATAAATATTTGTTAACTATTTATGTTTTTTCTTCTGTAAATATTTTTCATATTCCTTGTACTTTCCTGAATTGTAATTTTGTTGGAGTGAGGTTAGCACCTTATTTAAGTACTATAATCAATCTATTGATAGATTTCCAAATATTATTGATAAGTTTCCAGATATTGGGTTGTAGAGCAAGACTTTTTTCTAGGAATAATGCTACAATAAATATTCTCACACCAACATACATTTTTCAAATATATGATTTTTATTTGTAAAAACTTTATATTTTATATTGTAAAATCTTTTGTTGTTGTTGTTTTCTTCTTTTAAAAAGTGCCTTTTTGCTTGAAAAGCACCTGAGAATAGATTGTTCTTCTATGCCTTTTTGTGATCTGGTTAAAGATCTTTTTTCCTTTTGAAATTTATTTTATGAAATGATAGAATATACTAATTTTGGAAGAAGTACTAAATTAAAACTGCCTTCTAGATTCTTTTATATCATATGTGATTTTGAAAGGAGAAAAATAAGTTGTTATTAACTCATTTAGACTATTTCAAATGAGTAAATTCTTATCTGGAAAAGCAAATGTAGATGAGTACTTGATCTGCGCTTGAAAATGAGATAATCCATGGTCTCATCTGTAATCTAATAGGAAAGGTGAGGTATACAGCACAATTCAAAAGGATAAATTACAAGCTAACATATGCATGAAGCCTAGAGATAATCTCAAAAAATATGCTGATTTATTGAGAACTGGAAGGTATTAATCTGGGCAAATTTCCTTTGGGCTGACATTTGAACCAGGATGAAAGCAAAGTAAGGATGAGGTGAATTAAAAGTGAGAGATTGTTCCATACATGTGAAATGAACAATCTGAGATGAGGTTTCCCTTAGCAAATCCAAATCCTTTCCCGACCAGAAAAAAAAAAAAAAAAAAAAGACTATTTCACCTAATGGAGGAATCCTTCCTTTGGAAGAAATTAATTTTGCACCAAAAGTCTGTAAACTTCAGGAAACAAACTAATTGTTAACCTGGAAAGTACAAATATTATAATATATAAGAATTTTAAAGTTCCAATTCTAACTGATAAGGTGCCACCTAGCAGGTGTGAGAAGATGGTGGCAGTGGGTAGTGACTTAAAATTTAATAAAATGAGGACAGGGATATAATTTTCCTTGAATATATGTCTTTTTTGATCTTCAAAGTTTGAAACTTGAGATCATCATCTAAGATGCTAAAAATAGCATATTTCCAGAAGTACATCAGTTATCAACAGATGATATATCTGTGATCCCAATGAAATTCTTTAAAGCAGAAAGGAAATTGGGATTATTGTACCTGATTTAGTGCAGTGGAGAAATGTGAATCTTAAGTCTTTACAGTGGGGGATCCCTGTGTACAAAATAAAGTGATCTGCTCTCAATTTCAGGAAAACTTGGAAGATAGGGGCTGAAACCAAAATTGACAATTCCACCTCCACCCTGTGCAGCCAGGTGACTGCCCCTCCTCCACACAGAAAACTAGGGTTTTCCTCTTTGAAGAGATTAAGCCCAAGAGCTCTGATTATAATAGGGCACTGAAGTTAGAATAGAGGGATTCAGAAAAGGTATGCATTTTGAAAGAGAAAATCTTCACCGCAATTTTCACCCAGTTCCCAAACCACAGAAGTCAAGGTTTCACACAAGAGCAAGAAACGCAAAGTTCCTTCTGTTGAGAAATAAAATGTCAATAGTGAAAAGAATGACATATTTATTAATGTTTGGGAGTCTCCTATGGGGAAAGATGGCTTGACACTCAATCAGCCTTTTCTAAAAGTACACTGGTTTGGAGAAAACAATTGTACACAAGTGTACATGTAATCATAATATACTATATTGGAATGCAAAGACCAATATTTAAGTAGTTTTTATAATGTTAATACTGATATTATTACTGAAATACTGGTGATTGCATTGGAAGCTGGGAAGGAGGCATATAAAGAGTCTCATCTTCATTTGTCGTAGGTCACTAGAAGTTTTTCTTTACTGATAAAACAAGAGTTATGGAATGAACACACCTACAAATATAGAGATAAACACCAGGAAAAAAAAAAAAAAAGAGCTTTACAAAAACTAATAGTATTCATCACTGCTTAGTTTGATTGAGAGGTCTCCGGGCAGGAGACTGCTGTTTCTCATTATTAGGCCACTTAGAACTTGTATTAATTAGGGTTCTTTAGAAAAACGGAACCCACAGGATATCTGTTGATCTACCAATCAGCAGATCAATCTAACTCTAAGTCAATCTAAATAATAGGAAAAAAAAAGGTTGATTGATTTAAGAAATTTGTTGCTACCATAGTTAATGGAGGCTAGGTAAGATTGCAATCTTCAGGATAGGCAGGCAGGATGGGGAGCCCAGGAAGAGATGTGGTTCACGTCTAGATGTCATCTGCTGGCAGAATTCTCTTGCTCCTGACAAGTCAGTCTTTGGAGGAGTCCTTTCCACATTATGGAGAATAATCTGCTTTATTCAAAGCCCACTGATTTAAATGAATCTCATCCACAAAATACCTTCACAAAAAATATCCAGAATAATGTTTGACCATATATCTCAATACTATGGTACAGTCTAGTTCATACATAAAATTAGCCATTGTAGAACTAGTTGATTTTTAACCGTATACCATTAAATTGGCTATGTTAACTAAAATAAACTTTTATAGAAATGAGGTATGGGATTACTTCTGGAACAGCTTGATAGCGGGGCTACAGGAAGCACTCAAGAAATATTTGTTTGATGAATTCTAGTCTTTTTTTAAAAAATATTTTTATTTGTAGATGGACACAATACTTTTATTTTATTTATTTTTATGTGGTTGCTGAGGATAGAACCAGTGCCTCACAGGCAAGTGGTCTACCTCTGAGTTACAACCCTAACTCCAAATTCTAGTCTTTTTATAAAGAGAGTTGATTATTATCACTTTTTCTTATTCCTTAGAGAAGCCATTTTATTGGAGTAAGTTATATGATTTCTGTAGAGACTTGAGTCTTTACAACGCATATATCCCCCACTAGCATTTTGAAATTTCTGAAGTATTTTATTTTACATCAAATAATTTTAATTACAAAGTTATGCTAAAGTATGATTTTTAAGATAATGTTAAGATTATACAATAAAAATATGCTTTATTTTTAAGAACATTTATTATTTCTGTGATTTTACCTCTTTAGATCTGAAATAGCTCAACTCAGTCAAGAAAAAAAATATACATACGACAAACTAGAAAAGTTACAGAGAAGAAATAATGAATTGGAGGAACAGTGTGTCCAGCATGGGATAGTACATGAGACAATGAAGCAGAGGTAATAAAAGTTTAATAGTATCTGATGTGCCATATTTTGGATGCGTTTGATTCACACAGAGGGGAATTTTGAAATATGACTCAAAATCTAATACTTCTGTGTATTTATGCTCCCTCAATTTAAGTTGCTCTTATAGAGAAGAAGAAACATTTCCTTATTACTATTCTCTATATACCTAGAATTAGATTTAATATAGAATAGTGGAGAAAATAGCCTTTAAAGCCTGAGTTGGTAATATTGTATTATGGAGAAAATTCAAAACACTTCTTCTAAAAATTAAGTTTTATATGCTTTTTATAAGATAAAGCATGTAGTAGTCCTAAAGACATTAAATATTTTATGAGAGGTTGTGTTCATAGTGTCTAGAATCAGGATTTGACTCTAAACCCTTTGCTTGTTTCTAGTGGTGTTACTTTAGGCAAGTCACTCAATCTATCAGAGGGTCTGTGTTTTCAACTCTGTATTGATGCTAAGAATGCCCACTTTGGTAAAAAATTTGAGTAAAGCATCTGACTCATAATAGCCACCAGTAAATGTCATCAGCAATTATTTTCTTCTTTTTCTGGGTGGAAAAAAAAAAAAAAAACAGCTCAAACAGATTAATGGATATTCTTAAAGTCACAGACTTCAAACTTGGATCTTGATCTTTTGACCCCAAACTTCTTCTTCTTCTTTTTTTTTGGACAGTATTGGAGTTTTATGTTTGCTTTCTTTTGTTTTTGATAGCAAACACAGATCCTTATTGTGTTTTATGATACCATTTCTAATTTCTGTGTGATACATGATTTCTCAAGAATAAAAATCTGGATATTGCATATCCAACAATAAGTTGGTTTCTGCAGATTTGGACTTTTATACAACAGTCAAATAACAACAGTAGTCAGCCTTCCAGTAAAGATCATTTTCTTGGTATCCAGCTCTCCATCGCTACCCCATCCCCCCAGCCACACCATGCCTTCTGTCTTTCAAAAATAGTTGATATAATTTAGAGAAAATTGGGGCTGGGGATGTGGCTGAAGCGGTAGCGCGCTCTCCTGGCATGCGTGCGGCCCAGGTTCGATCCTCAGCACCACATACAAACAAAGATGTTGTGTCCGCCGAAAACTAAAAAATAAATATTAAAAATTCTCTCTCTCTCTCTCTCCCTCCCTCTCTCACTCTATCTTTAAAAAAAAAATTAGAGAAAATTATCCTACCCCCTCCATAAACCCCTTTTATTTTTTAATTTAAAGTAAACATAGCATGGAGGGGTAAGATAATTTTATAGCTTTAATTGCTATATTGAATATATGAAAAGCAGTAAGAAAATAGTACCACTTTTAATCACTGAAATATTAAAGTACAGGTATATCTGCAAATAATCATTCTTTCTTTCACTTGTTAAAATAGTCACTTAAGCCTAGCTAGCCCCTGTTCTAGGCCAGGAGTCAGCAAACTTCCTATAAAGGTAGAATGAGTAATTATTTTAGGCTTTGCAGGTCACACAAGGTTTCTGTAATAGTGTTTTTTGTTTTGTTTTGTTTTTTAGACCCTTTAAAAGGTAAAGATCATTCTTAGCTAGAGAACAAGTCAGAACAAGCCAGACATTTGGGCCCATGGACCTTAGTTTTGCTCCTTTATGAGGCAACTAAAGCATATTTCTAATATTTATTTTAAAATTGCTATATTTCTTTACAGTTCACAAAATGTACTCATGCATATTATCTTATGTATCTTGAGGCAAACCTGTTATTATCATCTCAAGTTCCAGATGGAGAACTAAGGTTCAGAAAGATAAATTTGCCAAGTAAAGGTCAGAGAGCAAATTAATGACTCATTCCTTCAACAAATATTTATTGATTGCTACTATGTGTAATGTTCTCTACCACGTGCTGATACTAAAATAGCAAAGTAGATATGAATTCCATTCTGGTGGAGCTTACATCTTTACAGGGAAGGTGAATATTGACAGAAGAATTTCATGAATATCAAATTAATTACAACAATGATTTCATAAAAAAGCAATATGCTGTGTGGTACAAGAACACTTAATAAATGGTCATATTCTGATTAGGAAAAATTTCAGTGAGAAAATAACACTTAAATGTGTAAAGGATGGGGTAGGGATTATTAGTCTTCTAAAAGAGGAATTGACAATCTTTGCCCCAGCCCATAACCTATTTTTATGGCCCAGAAACATACTCTTATTCATTGACCTGTTGCCTGTGGCTGCTTTTGTGCCACAATGTCAGGATGTCAGGGTTATAGTAGTTCAGTCAGTGAGTCTTCTTGGCCCACAAAACCTAATATATTTAGTTATCTGGTCCTCTCCTAAGAGAATTTGCCAATTAAAGACAACTATAAAACTGAAGATTCTGACATAGGAAAGCATGGTACTTTGGGGAAACAGAAAGAACTGTGTATTTATCATAAAGAGTGACATGTGATGGGGTTGGAGACCTACAGGCATGGCCTTTAAGTTTTTGTTGTAGACTTTTTATTTTATCCTGTTACTAATGGAAAGAAATAAAAAAATGTTTTTTAAAAATAGAGGTGAATGATGGGATCAGATTTGCATTTTAATAATAACCCAGAACAGATAATGGATTAGCGTAGAACCATAGTGATTATGTAAGATCAACTAGGGAGCTATTAGAGTTGTCAAGTGATGATGGTGGTGGTGGTGGCTTGGGCTTGATAATAATGGGGATGAAGAGAAGCAAATAGATTGGGAAATTACATAGGAGCTAGAATCCACAGGACTTAATTAATTGGCTCTTGGTTGTGGAGAAGGAGAGCATGTCAAGAACCTAGCATGAGCAAGGAGTGTCTAGTGATGTTACTTATTGAGAACTAAAGAACACTTCAAAGAAGTAGGTTTGTGGTTGAGATTGCCTGGGTTTGGAATAAGACCAAGTGTTAAGTTTTCACCATGTTGAATTCAATGTTCAAATGCATTGTTCAAATGGATATGTTGAATAAGCAGGTGGACTTAAAGGGGAAAACTAAGGATGTAGGTCTGGGCTGGTGATAGAAATCTCCTTTGGTCTCTGAAGGATATTCCAAACTTTGGGAATAAATAAGGTCACCAGAAATAAGCATAATAAGATGAAAGAAGGATTTATTGATCCCAAGAAACACCAACACTTTTAAAGCTAAGGTAAACATTGAAAGAAGAGATTGAGACAAAGCAACCTGAAGAATAATTAAAAACTTAAAGAGCTTGTTGTCACACATATGAAAGGATGGAGGGAACTGTGACCACCGACAGAAAAGGCCCAGTGGCCCGCGGAGGGGCAGAGCTTCCAATCACTCCTGTAAGGTAGGCGGGCCTGCGACCCACCGGCAGAAGAGGAGCAGCGGCCTGCTGAGAGGCAGAGCCGCCCCCTCCCCCTGCGCCGACAAGGTAGACGGAACTGTGACCACCCACAGAGCAGGCCCAGCGGCCTGCTTAGGGGCAGAGCCGCCCCCCACCCCCCGCGCCTGCAAGGTAAGCGGAACTGTGACCACCAACAGAAAAGGCCCAGTGGCCCGCGGAGGGGCAGAGCTTCCAATCACTCCTGCAAGGTAGGCGGGCCTGCGACCCACCGGCAGAAGAGGAGCAGCGGCCTGCTGAGAGGCAGAACCACCCCTCCCCCCGCGCCTGCAAGGTAGACGGAACTGTGACCACCAACAGAAGAGGCCAGACCTGCAACCGACAGACAGAACAGGCCCAGTGGCCTGCGGAGGGGCAGTGCCGCTGCCTGCGCCTGCAAAGTAGGCAGAACTGCGACCACCGACAGGACAAGCCTAGCGGCCCGCAGAGGGACAGAGCTGCCGCCCGCGCCTGCAAGGTAGGCGGACCTGCTACAGACCGGCAGAGCAGGCCCAGCGGCCTGCCGGCGTGGTAGGCACATTGCCCCAATTGGAGGAGGGGCAGAACCGCCGCCCGCGCCTGCGAGGGAGACTTTGCAACTATACAAGACCAATATAAATATATAGGGGGGAAATTCAATAGCACAACAGTTTCACCAAGTAGAAAGGAACGCGAACAGTATGAAGAGACAAGGAAAGAAAGGACCACAAGCAATGCAGGTCAACTCAACGTTAGAAGAGGTAATAGCTGCAGCAGATGGAATGTCAGATAAAGAATTCAGGATATACATGTTTCAGATGATCTGGAGTCTCAAGGAACACATCAGACAGCAAAATCAGACAATGAAAGATCACTTCAACAATGAATTACATAAACAAATCCAAGAAGCAAAAGATCAACTATACAGGGAGATAGAGGTTATAAAAAACAAACAAACAGAAATCCTAGAAATGCAGGAAGCAATAAACCAACTTAAAAACTCAATGGAGAATACTACCAGCAGAGTAGAACACTTAGAAGATAGAACATCAGACAATGAAGATAAAGTATTTCAACTTGAAAAGAACATAGACAGCTCAGCAAGACTGTTAAGAAACCATGAGCAGAACATCCAAGAAATATGGGATAACATCAAGAGACCAAATTTAAGAGTCATTGGGATACAGGAAGGGACAGAGTTTCAAACCAAAGGAATGAGCAATTTATTCAATGAAATAATACGAGAAAACTTCCCAGACTTGAAGAATGAGACAGAATCCCAAATCCTAGAAGCCTACAGGACGCCGAATGTGCAAAATCATAAGAGACCCACACCTAGACACATTATAATGAAGATGCCCAACATACAGAATAAGGAGAGAATTTTGAAAGCTACAAGAGAAAGGAAGCAGATCACATTTAGGGGTAAGCCAATCAGGATAACAGCTGATCTTTCAACACAGACTCTGAAAGCTAGAAGATCCTGGAATAACATATTTCAAACACTGAAAGAAAATGGGTTCCAAACAAGAATTGTGTTTCCAGCGAAATTAAGCTTCAGGATGGAAGATGAAATTAAAACCTTCCACAATAAACAAAAGTTAAAAGAATTTGCAGCTAGAAAACCATCTCTTCAAAACATCCTTGGCAAAACATTACAGGAAGAGGAAATGGAAAATAACAATGA